TTTGGTAGCTACTACCTGGAGCAACAGCTGCTTCCTGCTCAGCTACCTCCTGCCCAAGCAGAAGGGTTGTCTCTCAGGAGGCAGGTGTGCTTCATGACCCCAGGCAGCCATTCCTCAGTCTTGGTTTGGAGACTGAGCTGGCAGGACAGAGATACTGTGGTCTTTGTCGGGGGGGTTCTCTGCAGTGCAAAGCTACATGTGTTTAGCTTTGGAGCTCAGGTAATGTGGAAGCTTCTGTAAAAGGCCCTGACCAAGGATATTTCTCCCATCCTATGTGGAGTCTTCCAATATGAAGAATGGCAGGTCTTGCTTCCCCGCAGTTGCTCAGTTTCACGTGTTTGGAATATGGAGGCTTCTGTAAAGCAGAGTTCCTGGGAAGTGTTTTTTCGCAGGGCCTGACTGTGCTATCTGAGGGAAGAGAAAAAATTATCTGGACTTGGGGAAGGCAAAAGCTTTGTCACTTGCTGGTGGTAAATGGTGAAATTTATCTTCTTTCATGTTCTTACCTGGTATCTTGGAAAAGAGCCTGAACTCCCACACTTTTACTCCATACTGCTTGCTAACCTGGGCTGTGTCCATAGGTACAGATGTGTTCTGTTGATTTTAGACCTATAACCTCAGTTCATGGAAAAATGTGCATAAGTCCTAAGATAGACCTTGAGTGGATAGTAAAGCATTTCCAAAGGATGTATTGGTGTGGTCTGGTTATTCAGTCTAAGACTGGTGGAGAGGCTTTAGATTTTAGGCTACTCTTCCCTGTTTCTGTTAAAAGGCAGAGTTTTTATCTTCCTTGAAAAGGGTAATGGGAAATTGCTACTTAAGAAGTTCATCCCCTGGTCTAGGTGTACAAAGGTAGTCTGCACTGACTTAAAAGGCAAATCTCAATTTCCAGGCTTCCTTCCCTGCTGTAGAGTGCTGTAGGTTCCTTCCACTCTTGGCAGAGAAAGAAATAGAGTATGTCTCACTGTTGCACAGAACATCCTTGCCTGTTTGCTCTGTGTTCCTGTGTACATCTCAGTTGTGACAAATCCTACTCTGTTTATCTCTCCCAGTGGGTCAGAATGAGTTTCAGCCCTCTTTCAACCTCACATAGCCGTGAAGGTGACATAAGTATTGAGTGCTGTGGATGACTGTCAACCCTGGTGAAACAGCAACTCACTCTCCTATTTTGTACTTCTCACACAACCTGGCTTCCATATCCACATTTTGCTCTCTCTGTCATTCATCCTGAGAGGGGGAACTGACATATCTCTCTAACTTCTCTCCCCTCCCGTCTTCTTTCATCCTTGCAGAGGAAGTAGACCAGGGCAATGCATGAAGAATACTCCCAGATGCTGGAACCCACCTGCCTCACTACCACCACCACCCCCTATGGAGTGACAGACGAATAATGCCTGCAAGGAGTGGGAAATTAACTTTACAAATAAATTAACTGTACTCACCAATGATTTTTGAACAGTTTATTCCCAATTCTGATTTTTCCTGCACAGCTTTCAGTCACAGCTTTAATGTCCCTGGCTTCTTAAGTTGAAGAGTATACCATCCAGGAATGCCTGTATGCAGGGTAGTAAGACTGACAAGTGAGGAAGAAAAAAAGAGGACCAAATGATTTAAGTTGGGGTCAGCCTTTCTAATGTGTCTCTGTCTGTGCTATGTTCTTTGAACTTGTCATCTGTGATCCTATGTAATCAATAGAGAAGGACAGGTGCTTCTTGGGAACAATTTCTCTCCCCTGACTTAGAAACCATAACCTTAATAGAATTGGTCTCTGCTGATGGCTATCCATGTCTCCCACAGGTAGGCAGCCTGGATGATCAGCTAATGTTAAAAGAAATTCAACCTCTGTGATCTTACCTGTAGACAACCCTTCTGGGATTGTTTCTTGTTTGTAGAAGAGTGGAAAGAGATATAGTCTGCCCTCTTCTAAGATTAGAGTGTATGGTGGCAGGAGGAATGTGTGCATGCATTATGCCTTAAGCTGCTAACTTAGCCTGTTCTCCAGTTGGAGCTTGGGCCTTCTTGTGGAAACTTCCATACCTTGTGTCTGCTGCTTCTGGGAGATTCCCAAGGAAAAGCTAATGGCATTTGCCCATAACCTACTTGCCTAAGTCTAGTCTAAACGGCACATTTATTTAAATCATAGAGTTGCTTTGATGAAACTCTCTATAGGCCTCTTACATATCTCCAGGAATGCTCCCCTTTTCTTGGTTTTGTCTCATTAATTTGTGGGTTTAACTTTTTGAATGCTGAAAGATCTTACATAACTGTTAATTCTCATGAAATGTTTATTGTTAGGTATCATGGCACACTGTGTATCCAAACTATGTTCCATCCGATTTGTTTTAGTGAGCCTGTACAAAAAATGTAGTTGAGACTAAATAAAATTCTTCATCTATTTTGCTAGATATTAATATTATGTCACTTTGTCTTCTGTGGTGTTTGGCATTTACACATTCAAGACCTTTACACACTTCATATTCAGAGAAGTCTATGGAATGAACCACCTTCAGTGAAAGCTGAACAGTATTTCCAGTCCAGCTAATTGCATTTTGTTTTGATTTAGAAATAGTAAAGCCATCTATTTTTTTACCATTAAGCAATTACTTTTCCAAGTTCTGAAAACAACATAGGCTTTGGTTGCTGAATTAAACTGTTTGAATTTTAGACCACTGTGATTTGCCTTTGAAGTATGCCATGCATGCTCCATGGGGATAGAAATTCAATATTCTGACATTCCTGTACTTCCTTTAGCCTTGCTAAAGTTTCCTAATGGTATACTATGGAGGACATTCAAGAATGTGACTGATGATTCACAGTCCGGTTGAGCAGAGAAATATCAAACTGCTTCACAGATACGGAATGGCCAGGGAGCTCCAAATGCCAAGTGATGTGGCTGCCCATGGACGACAGGTGTTGGTTAATTTAAAACCAGGCAGCAGCAAAACATGGAACATGCTACAGTAATTTTACAGACTTTTAAATTAACTTGTCATGATGATCACTTTGTTTCTTTTGAGGCAGTAAAGGTGTAATGCCATAACCATGCAGAGTTCATTTACTTACCAGAAAGTAAACTAGGATGAAGGAGCCATTGCCATCCATCTACAGTCTGCAGTAGAGGATACCCTGTATTTGCAAACCTGTGTGTGAATGCACAAGTTTGCTGACCTGTCACTTCTGAACCTGCTTGTCCCTAAGTAACAGTCTCAGCTATATCACTTCAGCACAGTCAGTTTCTCATGACCCATAGCAAAAGGACAGATATAAAAGGGGCCAGAGCAAACTGCATTCCTCACACAGTGAGGAGTTCTGGCTCAATAAGGGGAAAGAGAGTCTTGAGACATCCACATGGATGATAATAATGCTAAGAACATCAGTGTCACTGAAAAAAATTCAGGTCCTTTACTGCATCAGTGACTTAAATTTTTGACAACCTGGGTTTGTGTACATGAAAGAAGCTACAAGAGGGACTCCTACAGGTGTGTTTTCGTCAGCTTACGTTGGGAGAGTGAAAGGCACCTCTGCACATATAAACATGTAAATAAAATACACATGGTGCCATATGACCTCTTAAACTGAGGTTGATTGCCCTTGCATCCCTGTGAGAGATCTAGACCAGAGAAAATGTGATCTTTCAAAACATTGACATGCCTAATGTTTAACCCAAACTATCAGAATCTATGGCTTCTCCTCTGAATTCTGCTGAAGCATTGTAAGCCTAGTTGCAAGGGAGGAAAAAAAAGTATTAAAATTATTCAAAAAAACTAGAAGAGAGCTACAGGCCTCCAGTGAGGGGTAGAAGATAAAGTTCTCATGAAAAATGCAAGGGGTTTGACTCATAGTGTGGTTCTTGGTTGAAATTCTAAGATTATCTTGAGTGCCATCACTTGGCATGTACAGGAGAACCAGGCAATCAAGCAGGAAAGGCAGGTCCTCCTTGACCAACCTGTTCTCCTTCTATGACAGAGTAACCCACTTAGTGGGTGGGGGAAAGGCCATGGATGTTACTCCAATTTTAGTAAAGCCTTTGACACAATTTCCCACAGCATTGACCTGGAGAAACTGACTGCCCACGGCTTGGACAGGTACACTTTTCAGTGGGTAAAAACCTGGCTGGATGGTTGGGCCCAGGGAGTGGTGGTGAATAGTGCTACATTCAGCTGGCCTCTGTGTCCAGTGGTGTCCCCCAGGGCTTAGTGTTGGGGCTAGTCCTGTTTAATACCTTTATCGATGATCTAAATGAGGGGATCAAGTGCACTCTCAGCAAATTTGCAGAAGACACCAAGTTAGGTGGGAGAGTTGACCTGCTGGAGGATAGGAAAGCTCTGCAGCGGGATTTGGACAGCCTAGATCAATGAGCCTAGGCCAATGATATGAGGCCCAATGCTGGGTCCTACAGTTGGGTCACAACAGTCCCATGCAACCCTACATGATTTAGCAGTGGACTTCGCAGTGCTGAGTTAATTGTAGGACTTGATGACCTTAAAGGTCTTCACCAACCTAAACAATTCTATGAATGACACTGTTAAGATCCCTGTCCCTCTCTGTTTTCACTTTAGCTGTTTAGAAGCAAGCAGACGTCTTCACTACTAGAATGGAAAAGTCCACAGGTCTTCCCTCCACTTCTATCTAGTCTGCTGTGAAAGATCACACTGTCCTTCCATCTCATAGCAGTGATTTGTGATTTCACAGTGAGATCAAAGGTGATATGTGATCAAAGGTTTTTGTCCAAGGATCATCTTGCAGAAAACATCCTCTTTTAGAGGCAGAGAGACAAACTTCCAGTGCAGAATGGATCACGTAGGATTTCCTTTCTTCCTAGAGAACTGACAAGTATGGACACAAATCTCCCAACTGCTAAAAGCTGTCTGCCTTCTGATATTTCCAAACATCACCTTGCCATGGATGACTCTGGATTGAAATCTCAGGCCATTACACAGTCAGAGTTATGGATGGAGGAGAGACAAGACACAGTAACAGAAAACAAAGCCAGATAGATCTGATGAGAATCAAAACTTAATTTATTTATAGTGTTACTTCCTTTTTGGTTTTGAGGTGTCCTCCTCTAATGTTTCAATACCCCACCCTCAGCAAGAAGATCTTCTAGGGTCAGAGACATATGAGGTGATACAGCAAGGCTCAGATAAGATGCATTCTTCAGGAATTTCCCTGTTCAGCCTTGACTGGAGGTCAAAAAAGGACAGAGTGAGATAAGTATTCTGATGAGCAGTGTCCAGAGCCCTGGACATCTCTGTGTTCTGATGGCTATGTGAGTTCAAGCCCTGTTCAACTCTGGGAAACTGCTTCACCTAAAAATGCCCAGTTGCAGACAGATAACAGAATGGGAATAGCTGGACATGTTCAAAATATCTATGCTACAGAGAGGGGAGGGGAGGCAGATTTATCCTGGAGATACATGAGCTATCGTAATACACATTCTCTCTCAACAATTGGATTTCCCAAGGGAAGGCAAAAAATAACACCAAGCAGAGTTTGAAAGGTCCTCAGCAAAGACATGTGGATAACATGAAAATTTCACCAAGATATTTGGGAGACAATTCCTCAGTACCTTTCAGTGTCTGCAGCACAGCAGATGTGGCCCAGAAAAGGGCAGAGACACAAAATGCTGGGTGTTGTGTTCCATCCCAAGGGAGACTTCAATCTTATTTGCATAATGTGACAAAAACACAGAGGAAAAGATGATTGCCACTGTGCAAATGAAGGCAGTAACACTGAGATTGCTATTCTCAGTGAATGAAAATAAAAGCTGTATCTGATCTTACACAGGAAATTGAGTGGCAGTAGTGCTTTTGGTTTCTGTACTGAGGTGTACCAAGAGATTGCAGTAGGCACAGTGAAGATAAATGCAGTACACACAGGCTGAGTATACACAGGCTGGGGAAATGCAAGGTCTACAAAGACTTTAATTCAAGAGAACCTGCAATAGCCCATGCTGGAGCTTCTCAGTTGTTCACGGGCACCTACCTGTGGCACAGGGAGCACTGTACTCCTGTGTGGCAAACTCAT